CGCTTGTCCCTGTTGGCTGCCTCGATTAATCACAGAAGAGGACAGCTGCAGACCGCACAGTCCAGACCCACTTGGATCACATCTGGCTTGCAAGCACATTATAGCCACCATGTGTTCCACTGACATGAGTCCTTCATTGTTTTACTTAGTGACCTTTCTCAGTGAGGTTATTGCATACACAAGGCAGAAAGAATCCCTGGCAGTGGATCTGTTTCTGTGATATCGCTGCTGGGTTAATTGCATCAAGTTAGGGCACTTCCAGGCAACTGGCTTATTATACACATGTCAAAAAATGCTGCTGTTACTCAACTGTTGCAAGGAATTTAGCTCTATTCTATTAAGGCAGTGCTTCTGTGGCAGGAAAATTACATCTTGCAAGATTTTATTGCACATAAAACAAAATCCCCTCCTTTCCCCTCATCCCCAGGGCTTCTCTACATGAGGCATTTATTGAGCACTTGTGATCCTTCACTCATGGAATTTGACGGATCCTTTATATGATGTCATCAGCCTCCAGGGCCTCTCCCAAGGTTTGTAGCCATTTGGGGGCTTTTTAAAAGAGAGGATAATGAGGTATTAATTTTTAAAGGCATGGCAAACTGGAATAAAGGCTAGTGTAATTCAGCTGTTGTGCTGTACTGCAGTGCCACCTTGCTATTCTTACATACAGGAAAGCAAAGAAAGCAACACCTAAGGAAACCCATAAGTAAATAACACTTCTTTTTCTTGCAAAGTGAAACACCAAGTTAAATACCTCAGGTAGAAAAGCATGACTCAGGTGCAGTGGGGAAGAATGTGAATACCTGCAATTGCACCAGGGCCAAGAGACACAATCCCTTCCCACCTACTTTGCAACAGTTTGTACCTATACTTGGTACCACGTCTAGATTTTTAAAGAAAAAAGTATCACCAGGTATCCTTCCCTTCCTGCAGCAAGGCTCCCACCATTCCACAAAAGCTTAATTTTGTTCTGCTAGGGGTTTTTTTAAGATCACATGCTTCTGCTTTCAACTAAAATTGAACCAAAGTGAGAACAAAATAAAACATTATGGTTTTGATGATTCGATATTAACTTCATTTAAAGCCATTAGAGCAAAATAAGCCTCAACTTAAAAATTTCCCTTCTGCATCAGGAGTTAAGCACCAAGCAAAATATTGCCACTGTTAATAACCATCACAACATCAGGCTGGGGAAGCAAAAAGGTTTAGTCTTGGCAAGATAAGCTGCAGTTGGCATAACTTTGGCACATGAGGAGGCTCCTGCTAGTCTGACCGAGAGTCCCTGGCCTTCTGGCTGGCCCCGAAGGGCATTGCCAAGGCACTTAGACTGACGGAGCACAAAGCCTACTACCAGGAGCACTTGGAGAGGCACAGCTGTCCCACCCTAGGGGATGCTGCCTGCACATTAGCATGTGCAGAGACTAATGTTCATCTTAGAGACCACTGCCAAAGCTCCTGCTGGCACACAGCAGGGCCTTTGGTGGGGGGGGGGGAGAGAGAGAGGGAGAGAGAGAGGCAACCACCTCATGGCCCTATTAAGACACATCAGAAACCCTGCAGGGTAATACACGGCTGTACCGTGTACCCGAGGGCACTACCATGGTTCTCCCAGAGAGCTCTGTTAGGGCCTGCGCTGCAAGCAAATTGCTCTCTGGTTGCTGTTTGTGCTATGGTTACAAACCTGAAAGATACAGTCTTAGAGAGACCCTTGATTTCCTTCCTTCTGCCAGCTGCTTTTGTCTGTCTCTGTCAAGCCAAGCACAACAGCTGAGCAGATAAACAACTTGCCACCTGCTCCCACCTCCAGCCCCGCCTCCCCTCTGAATCGGATACATTTCTCCACCCATTTGTCAGAAGCTCAGCCCTTTCCTTCCCAACCCTTTTTGCTGAAGTCTTCTGCCTTAGTGTTTTTCTTTTACAACTGTTCCTGCTTCTGCTCCTGCCTGGAGTTGCAGAACTGCCTTCCAGCCAATTCTTATTTCTGCCACAGGGGGAAAAAAATGGTAAAACAAGGAAGCAAGTTCAATGTTGACACCCTAGGTATGAGGCATTTTCTGGTAAAGATGGGAGCCTAAAAGAAGCAGAATGCTTTGATGCTCCCTCTTTTGAATACAGTAGGCAGGCTTGGAACATCTACTTGTAATCCCAAAAGTTAGCAATGAAGGAAAGGAAAGCTAAGAATGGAAACCAGAACGGGGAGCATGAAACTAGAGAGCCTCTTTTTCCTATAAATGTGCAGATAAAACAATGGAAAGTGCTTTATGCTCTAACGTTAATTTTATGACTTGGAATGACTTGGTGTATTTCTGTTTCATGGGATGAACTGCTCAGGAGTGGAGAGTGCCAGTAGTTTTTTCTTCTGGGCAAAGGGTATCTTCATAATATCATGTGTTTGATTACACACTATAAGACACAATTCAGTCTTATAACTGGTTCTTGAACAGGATATTTCTCTTTTCTAAGTGGCCAGGTCCCCAAACCATGACAGTTTCAGGAATGTGTCCACAAACCCAACAAGGGTGGGGGATACCTGGCAGGTAGGTATCTGAACGTTAAGGTAAATAGCAATTTCAAGGACAAAATTTTAAATGGAAAAATATGTAGACAGATAAAGTATTAACCCTGCTCTTTCCCCAATTCCATGTGTCTGATCCCAAATATGCTTCCCCTTGCAGTTGCTATTCATACTTGAAAACTGGAACAGATTCTATTCACAAATCTCCTGCATTAGATCTAATTTGGCTAGCATTCAAAAGGGCTATACAGATCACAAACTTAATCCATTCCACGACTCTGGTCGCAACCCGAGTTGGTCGCAATCTAAGTCAAATTCCCCCTATAAGGTTCAATGTAAATAAGGTTAATTCATTCTGCAAATATTTTTTAATCACAAAATTTGAAACAAAGTACAAAGAACAAAACAGTAACAAAGTCTAGTACAGTAGAGAACACTAACCTATTGGGGGGGGAGGTTATTGTTTGGAGGGAGAGTCCAAACTATAATTGTGCGATAGTGATTACGCTCCGAGGGGGGGAGATAGCCACGATTATGCTCATGCAGGGAAGATGGCCATGATTGTGATCGTGTTCGTGCGGCAACATGGCCACGATCATGGTTGTCATCCAATGCGGAATTCACGAACTTAGGAAATTTTTTTCTGAAATTTCTGTTCGCGACCCGATTTGGTCGTGGACTGAGGCCTTCGTGAGCCGAGCTACCACTGCATTTAGTTATTTGAAAGATTTATAAGCTGCTGTACAAAGTAAATAACTGAAGAGTAAAAAGCATGCTAAAGGGTCTTCCAACAAACAATATACAGCGGAAGCAATACATCTCAAAGGCCATGGACAGCAGGCTGACGGGCTGGAAGGCAGGCACACAGGCGCCTGGGAGAGGGGCAACTAGGAAGGCGCTCACTTTAAGAAACCCTGAAGAACACCAAGGCAGGCAAGGTGACAGCCAAGTGCTTTTGCTTAATGGCTGTGCCATTAAGGTCAACTCTAGCAATACCAACTTAAGCCAGTGTAGTGTAGTGGTTGAGAGTGCAGAACTCAGGTGGTTTGGGTTCTGGTCCCCTCTCAGCCATGGAGCTCCCTGGATGACTTTGGGCCAGTCACAGACTCCCAGCCCAACCTACCTCACAGGGCTGCTGCTGTAAGGATAAGATTTAAAGGAGGAAGAGAATTAGGTAAGTTGCCTTGAGTTCCTGAAAGGGAAAAAAGTGAGATATACATATAATACATAAAAATAATAATATATAAACAACAGAAGTATATTCAATACTTTAAGTAAAATCCTAATGCAATTATGCATGCATTTGCCAACTCAAAATGTTTTCTGAGGTATGATTAAACCTGTCTCCAGGTATGGGCTGAAAAGCTTACAGAGCATTTGCTGCAGCAAAGGAGCAGCTGGTGGTGGGGCTTTCTGGTTGCCACGCATCTGGAAGATGTGGCTATGGTGGCTTTTAAGAGAGCTTGTGAGAACTTTCAAGAGCTCCAAGCTGCAGCTGTCCATAAAGCTGTGGTGGTGAAATGAAGGGGGACAGGGCAGGGAGAGCGGATGGGGGATGCAGTGAGGCAGCAGCAAAGTGTACGATGCAGGAGCAGGAGGGTGTTGGTACAGCGATGCTCTTTCCTACTTATGGCCATGAGGAAGCATGCCCAGCTATGCAATTGCTGTTTAGGTTCTTCGCTCAGCACAGTTGGGATCTCCTGCAACCCATTTTAAAAATAGACATACTTTTCCTCCAACCACAACAATTCTGGGATTTCAGTCTGACCCAAACTTCAGCTCCAGGAATAGGTTGTATGAAGCTAGGGAGAAGAATCTTCTGGGTCACAAAGAATAAGGCTATCAATAGCTACTAGCTGTATGCAACCTCTAATTTCAGAGGCAGTGTGCCAGCGTACACCACTTGCTGGGGAACATGGGCAAGAGGGTGTTACTGCATGCATTTCCAGGCTGTGAGTTTCCCACTGTGTCAGAATAGAATGCTGAACTAGATGGATCCTTGGTTTGATCCAGCATGGATCTCCTAGTGTTCCTATCTGTAAGCCTACCCTATTTCCAAAATGTTCTTGCATAAAGTGTAGCCTCTTTCTTGGCACCTTTGGGGGTGGCGTTTGTGTAAATGCAAATTTGATCTCATTCAGAATTGTATTTGGTCAGAGCCCCAACTACTTAGTACAGTGAACTAGTAGAAAGGATAGTGGCTGTGGTCCCTTTGATTTGGAATACTCTGCAAGTTTACTCAGAGCAGGAAAAGCCTCCCTCCAAGGTGGGGTGCAACTAGGAGGGTCCACTACTTGCCCTTCCAGTGGGAGCTTCAGAAAGCCCTCCCAGCTGCTCTCCTGCCATGGCATTTGCCTCTGGAGACCAGCGAGCCTGAGGAAGTGGCAAGCACAGTTCTTCAAAAAGCCACCCAGACCGGTATGACTTCCTGTGGGTGGAGAATCCCAGGAGATTGCCTCTGCAAGCAATCACTGGGGACACTTACCCGGTGCCTGGCTTTGAGGAAGGACCCCCTCAGAGCCAGACATTTTGGCCTCCTGGGCCCTCTGAAGAACCATGCTAGCTGCATCCTCAACGTGTATGATTCAGCAACAGAAGCAAGAACAAAGAGGCACGGTGGGACGGGATGTGCTGTTGTAACAGGAAGGGGTGTGGTGCAGTGGCAGTAAGAGGAAGATGGTGCAGCAGGCAAAAGGGATGCGATTCAGGAAGGGTTAGGGACATGATGCACATGGCATCCTGAAGGGTAGTTGGTTGGAGGTGTAACAAAATTAAGAGGTCGCAGGTGTCATGATGTGGGGGGCACTGCGGCAGCAGAAGTGGTGCAAGGCTGATTCAGCAGTATGTCTGCCTGTGTGCAATCTGACGTATCCCCTAATAAATGTGCTCAGAATTGCAAACCTGCCGTGCAATTCTAAGTAAGCCTACTCAGAAATGAAATCTCACACCTTAAGGCATACTCGCAGATAGCAGTTCTATGCATGCCTATCTGCATTTATCAAGGACAACCCCTTGCCTGCTATTTTTAAAGGGATGCAAAGTATGCTCTGGAACTGCAGCAGCTGGTAGAACACCAATTTTATTCATTTATATATTTATATATTATTTATTTATATACTGCTCCATTCCCATAGGCTTGGAGCAGGTTAGCTTTAATGGCAAAAGGCCACTAGGAAGGATTTCTGACTTTCTAACATCTGAGGAAGTTGTCATTCTGGCAGCTCAATCTGTTGCTTCATTGCCCTGGATCCCAACATGTTCAGGAATCTAGCCACAAGTTATAGGACTGGTTTCATGAAAGCAATCACCAGTTGAGGGAAGTTAGTAGAAAGGAACTGGTATGAGTTAAACCTGGGAATGTTTATGAGAATGAGAGAATATCCACATTACAAGCTTTTCTGTAATGTGCATTTCCATGGCGCATTAAGCGTGTAGATAATTTGGTGCAGTGCTAGTCTTTCCTCACAGAACAGCAATTCCTTGGGTTCCCTGGGAAGAGGGAACAATGCTTAAATCCATTGAAGTCTGTAGTGTAGATATGTCCATAGCCTTTGTAGCACATTGTCAGGGCGGCATTTTTACTGAGTGGATTTTTGAGAACAGATGGTCAGCCAGATCCTCAAAATACTTTACAGAGTACAAGCCTCATTGAAACAAATGGCACTTGCACCCAGCAGAGCACTCAGAGATTAATATCTTTCCAATGACACATTCATCGTCTCATCTGCGGAAAGCAGAAAAGGCTTAGCCCACATAAACTTGACACTTCCCTGTCAGTCAGCCAAATGATGACCTCGTATGCAGATAGTCTCCTAGTCTCCAAAGGGAGCAATTAATGCCATGCACAAGGTTCTCCAGATGTGACAGAATGGCTCGTTCCCATGGGCTGTAGTGCCACGACATTCTATTGCTTTTATAATATGCCTAAACATGAATGAAACCTTTTAAGTAGCCTCAAAACCAAAATAAATAAAGGATTACCTTTAGTTTCACTGAAGGAAATTGCTTGCTGTATCTGGAGCAGAACAGAGAACAACCCATGTAGTCATGACAACGGTCACTGCCATATTAACACTAACGGAGCGTACATCCATGAAGCCTCATCCTATTGCCTTTACCCGGAAGTGTCACACTGACTTCAGCGAGACTAATGCTCACTTACGCCTTCATCCTTTTTAATATTAATGCATTTGAGAGTATTTCATCAATGCTGTTGCTCTTTTCTCCAGCAGCAGATATCCTGCTGATTATATCAGCAAATTCACTCATAATTTTCAGTGGCAACACTCATGTTATGGAACTCCTTCCCTAGAAAGGCCCACTTCACTGTTCCTTTGCTGGCCTTTAGGGACCTTTTTCTAAATCTAGTGCCATGCAGCTAGTGGGTTTTTTTTTTTTTTTTTGAGGGGCAGTGTGTGGGGAGGAGTAGCATGTCCTTCCTCAGCTGCCATTTCAGTGAAAAATTCCCCCATTCCATATGTATCATTTAGGTTTTGGGGGAAAAGGTGCCATGCACACAAACTGCTGCATGGGGTGGGGAGTACGAATCGCAATGGCAACATACAGGGAGATAATTCTTCCCTTCCCAGCTGCCAACTCTATCAAATCCCTCCCCCTCCATGGGTTTAGGAAAGGTCCCATTTGGATCCTTTTGGCTGCAAGCTAATTTCTGTATGAGGGTTTGGGGGACAGAGGGGAAGTTGTGGTTAGATACAAATGCTCTGAGGACCACAACTGATTCATGGATTAGATATTCCCCACTCACTTAAATGTTTTCTTAGTTTTGATTGATTTCATCTAGATCTGTTTTATGGTTGTATTGTCTTCGTGATAATATTCTGATGTTGGTTCATGGGAAGCTGTATTTGAAATGTTGTAAGTTGCCTTGGGGATCTTTTAGGCTGAAAGGTGAGATATAAGTGTTATTTAAAAAAACAAACAAACAGAGCTGGTGTGGTATGGTTTAGTAGATAAATGCCATATTAGTAGGCTTTAGACTTGGGAGAACTAGAGTAAAATCCCTGTTCTATCACATAGTAGATGATTCTTTGATTACCAGTCACTGTCTCTTGGCCTAATCTACCTCACAGGTTTGCAGCAAGTATAATGGGAGAAGCCCATATACTAGCACAAGTTCTTCAGAAATGTTAATAATAAAAACAAATAAATGAATCAGACATACAGAAAACAGCTCACAACATTGGATCCTACTGGTACATACTTTCAACATCAGGTTTAAAAGAAAGGAACAGCTATCCATTCCGAAGATTTTTCCTCCCTCCAGTTAGTGGTTATTCCCTGAGCCCAGCTGATGAAAGACACAGATGTGGTTACAGAGAAGCAGCTCTCACTGCCTCCCTTGTTCCCCAGAGCCCTTCTCAGGCAGTCTGATATCTAAGTGGAAAGGAAGAAAATAGGCTGTCAAGTGAGGTTGCCACCCAAACGATTTTCTGACTTGATTAGCACCCCCCCCCCCACACACACCCCCATCACAGATCCAGAGATTCTGCAAGCAGGGATCCTTGCAGATCTTACAGGCTAAGTAAAGACACAGGGAAACGGAACTCTGGGGAAAACCTAGATGGGCTTCCCTCTTGTAGAAAATGAGACAAAGGGAAAGGCTGAGGGAAAAACAACCCAAAAGGGGCACTAAATAACTGCCAGAAAGAAGCACAGATTGTAACAGTCGGAGACCACCTTGGGGCTGCAGCTGGTTTTGTCTCTCTGACTTAAAGGAGAGGCAAGGCGAGCATGCTGGGAAAAGACTGCAGACTGAAGAGTTAATTAATAAGGGATGGACAAGCAGGCGGAGAAAAGGGAGGCTTAAATCCTCAACTTTTCTGTGGACCAAGCCTCTGAATAAAAGATATGCTAAGCAGGAGCCTGCTACAGAAGCTAGCTATGGTCAGCAGTGGTTGTACTAAGACTTGTGCACAGAACTGGTGCAAAATGCCACTTAGAATAGCAAACAAACAAACAAAGCAAAACCCACCAAGCATCCAAAAGTCAACATTTGAAAGTTCAGCTTGCATAATACTCAGACAGCTCTTGGGACCATTAAATTAAACTAGAGAAGTATTTCTTAATTTCTTGCTAAGTGACTTCATTACAAGCACCAAAGGTGTTTTGGCCTACCTCAGTTTCTGCAAGCTTAACACACTGAGCTCTCCACCCCCCACAGCCCATGCTAATCTGAGTTTGGAAGCAGTATGCTATTAAATATTGGTTGCTGCAGAACAACAGCAGAAGAAAGGTGTTATCTGGCAGCGTTGCTCATGAGCTTCCTATAGGCATCTAGCTGGCTACATATTGGATTAGATGATGGTGATGATGATAATTCCATTTCTATACTGCCCATAGCTGAAGCTCTCTGGGCAGTTCACAACATTTTAAGTCACCATCCAGATTTCAACTAGGCTCAACCCTGCTTAGCTTTCAAGATTAGGCAGGATCAGGCACTTCAGGCTATACGGAAGCTATATATTAGATGAACCTCTGGTCTGATCCATCAGGACTGTTCTGACAATTAGCGCAGATTACCTTGTCCAAATAACCCATGACCCTGGAGCAAAGGCCATGCTAGGTAATTAAAAGGTCCAGGGCTCAGCCTCAGGATGGGTTATGAAAAGTGGGATTAAGTGTTCTCAGGCTAGTAGCTGATGTCACTGATGGTGCTGAGGTTGGGTCAGTGGAAGAAGTTCCACGGGGGATCAGAGGAGGCAGAACAGTCTTTGAATCCCCAACAGCCAGCAAATTACACCACAGAAGGGGAATACTGTGGCATATGACCAGGGAAAGAGGGAATAGAGAAATTGCACAGCCATTTTAGCAAGAATTCCCATTCAAAAGAGAATCGTTTGACTGAGTTACACAACCACATACATGATGCTGCCACTGCTAATGATAATATTCTCAGTGTGGCACAGGCGGAGTCAGATCAAGGCCATGATAGGCCTCAGGGCTAGCTGTCTGTAATGACCCCCTGCTGTGTCCCCCATACTGAACTGGCATATACACACACACTCAGAAAGGAAGAAACAACAATATACAACAATAATGCAAAAAGCATTTCCAGTGCATAATTTAGTGGAAATTGGCTTTTCTGTTAACATCCATTCCATGGTAGAAAACTCAACACAAGCTGTCATTTTATAGCACACAGACCAAAAACAAAACAAAACAAAACACACAATGAACTGCTCTCTTTCTGTCACAATCAAGAAAGAGACAAGAGACTCAGTGTCTTGTTCAGATGCATCAGTGAAATAATCCACACACATATATAGCCACAGCTAGCCCAGAATATGTTGCTGCATGAGGAGTATCAGTAAATGCCTCCCATTTCTCACTTGATTATTTGGACCAATCACTACTTCTGAGCTTAACCTATCTCACAGAATTGTTGTGAGGAAACAATAGACAGGATGCACCACCTTGTAGGAAAGGCAAGATAGAAATGTAATAAACCATAAGTTCCTCAGGCCAATAATCATTCAAGTTAATTTTAGAACCTGGACTTTATGGTCTAAATCAGTTGTCATCACTAGAACTTCTGGTAGTAAACTCC